AACGCAAAGAGATTACCTTTGCTCCCCCTTTAGCACGCAATTCTTCAAGTACAGCAGAAACTACGGCAGCGCCAGATGGGCTTCAGAGCGGGTGCTGCATTTTGTTACCTCCTTTGAGTGAGAGTTCATACGTTGGGGAGAAGCGGGGACAAACCCCTTCTTTAATTGCGTCGTCTCATTCAGCTCTGGGACACAAAGAAATGCCAGATTTCGAAGACTAATCCCGCATTTACTGGGCCTCACTTGAGAGTGCGACGTATCCGTCCGCTCATTTTTGGGTAGGAATGTTGTTGACCAGCTAACCTACGACTGAAATTCGAAAGTAATTTGTAATTTGAGTAAAATTTACTTGAAAAAAGTAATTCAACTACCAATTACCGAAATAAAAGTGTAATTGAAAGTTACTAAAATACTCAGATATGTAGTTAAACTACAGTAACTTCAGAAGAGTAATTGAACTACGTACAAGTCTGCATATTAGTTGGCACTGAAAAAATCCAAAGGGGACACAAACTTTTTATTAGTCCGTCAATGGCTGAGACAGGAGTTGTGATAAGCTATTCAATGTACTCAACATATTAACTATTTTGTTTTTCTGTTTTGAAAATTGAAGCCACTTCCGCTATGTGGGCACGTTCGGGGCCCCGCTTTGGGTGACATGGCTTTGACAGTTTCTCATCTGCGCGCAGGTGCACCCTCGAGCAGTGTCGGCACTTTCCAAATCTCGTGCGCCGACAGAGAGGCCTTGAGGCGAACACGGAATTTAAGATCGCCTGTCAGTGATTCAATAAAAGGCAGCCCTAGGGTGCCTCAATGTCCTTCTGTTTAGGGTGATGCCATCTTTTGTAGTACCCGGTGCCGACAGCACGCGCTCAAGGGTAAAATACAAAGAAATCGACGAAAACAAAATGTCGCCATAGCACAGTCAGCGCAAGAAACGCGTGCAGAGACACGCTCTTTCACGCGCCTTTGAACAAAAAATAAAAATAAAAGTGTGGGACAAAATGGCGAGATGTCTCCACCCAAAGCCAAGCGCACATGAAGGCACCCTAGGCAGCCCCAACGTGAGAAAATCCGAAAGAAAAAAAACTTGTAATGACTGTAATATAAATTTTTCCCTCCCGAGGTTCATGAGTAATGAATTGGAATCACAATTTACTCGGGAACTAATTAAATCACATTTAATATATCACTGTAATTTAATTACTACCGAAGTTTGCCTTAAAAGAGGGAGCCGACATTTAGCAAAGACATACGGAAGTGGCATTTCTAAGCTCTCTGGACAAAAGCTAATTTGTGACTAGACGTGTAACAAAGTAGCATCCTGAGCTGAATATAGTTGTGTTGATAATCAAAAATGTTCTAAGAAATCGTATAAAAAAAAAAGAAAAAAACGCGCGTGTATATGGCGAAAGCAAGGAGCATTATAGATATGATCAATCAATTTCTCACGGCATTCTCCTAGGTAAAGGCGAGCGCAATTACAGCAAACATCATATACGCAGGGTCAGAGTTGTCGGAGCACTTTGCCCAAATATATTTCAAACATGATCTGCAAAAAGAAAAAAAAAAGCAAGCATAACGTGCCTGTACTGAGCAGACGAATTCAGCAAGGGTCAACGTGAGCATACGTAGTACTAAACTAAACGCGTCTGCGCTCAACTTGTAATCTTTCTAACAAGCACCAATAAAGGCAAAGTACGTTTAAAGGAACCGTGAAATTATTTTTCAGCTTTTATCCAAATAAAGCTCTCAATAATTCCTGAATTCCAATAGAGTACAACTGGAATTTCTTTTCAACGCACTACGTAAACGTTTTAAAAAAATTGAAGAGGACACTTAAGACTGGTTACGCGTAGAAATGCGAAAGCATTCCTACGCGCAGCGCATTCCTGTAATCAGCGAGTCACGTCTTTCTATCCCACACGGCGCTCCGGCGGTAACATGACGCTCCCCCACTACGCAGGCGCGGCGAACCCCGCCGGCTCCACGTCTTTCGTGAAGAAGCATTTGCGTTGCTGTGCTTTTGGGCATTGGAAATTTAACTGCCGTTTGGCTGCTAATGAAGGACAGACAACGCCGGCTTCGCTCCATGGGAGAGTTAATGCTTTCGTATTAATATGTAATAAAAAAACCGCGTCGGCTTTTCTCCACGACTCACAGGCTCACCCAGTAGTCGGGTACGTCTTGACAGATTGTGCTCCTGAAGCGCTTAGATGTCACACTATAGGTTTCACATTTTAGAGCGGAGCTGTTATGGGCTAGTTTCCCTAGTTTCGTGTCCGGTACCACAAAATGTCGAAACAAAAAGTACACAAAGCTCTGGACAGCTACCACCTTCTATAAGCGACGGCGGCAACCACACAACCGGTGTGGTTGCCGCCGTCGCTTATGGATGGTGGCAACTTTTCCAGCTATCATAGCAGAATGGATAGTTGGGCGAGTTAATGGGAATTCATCGTAGGAAACAGCGCGCCAAACAGACGAGGACGAAGAAGAAACACACGAGACGAGCATACAGCTTCGCTGGTCTTCCGTCTTCGCCAGAGTGGAAAGGCTGAAAGATTTTTCCAGTTTCTTCGTCACACATCTATCTCGGTGTTTATGCAGCCCAAGATCCGTGCTTTGGATTATTGCGTCATCTACTTCGATTGAGCGCGCGCGCGGGGTACAGGTTAAACACGATTCCCAGCGGAACGCTGACGCAACTATCGACTTCGTCAGCCAGCCGAACGTTGTTTGTAAAACAGACAAATAATTCATACGGGTCGTTCCCACAGCTGCAGTGAACCGCTATAGGGTAGTGGCTGTTCGATGTCCCGCCTACTAGCTCCGAAGTAAAAAAATGGCGCGTGAATTTGCCCTCGTAAGAACGACTTTGTATCGAGACAAGCTCGTTCTAGTCGCTAAAATCACAATGCTATGTATACTTTGCGCAAGTTCGTCTGCCTCTTTTGCAGGGATTGTGGTGGCGTCAGAAAGACGCGGAGCTCTGATTGGCTCTGTTTGAAAAATAGTGGGAAGACCTCGAGGAGCTTGCTTTGAGGTTTACCCACCCTCCCTTCAATCAGAGCTCGGCGTCGTTGTGACGTCACCGCAACTCCAGCAAACGAAGCAGGCGAAAGTTCGCTCCCCAGTTGCTGGCAGCTTTAGAAAGGCAGTGAGTGACTTCTGATGTCCACGCTTGTTGCTTCGGGATTAGTTCTCCGGCATTTTTTTTTTTCGGCTGATGCCGCAATCTTATTGGCCAAGGAAGTAAGATGCTTTGGGTTTGCCACGCCCTGCGTTTTTTGAGCTCTCAGTGACTATACAAAGACACAGTTTGGATAAAAAAGGAATGCTATTTAAGTGCCGTTGCCAATCGATGAAGTGAACGCACTGCGCGTAGATTTACTGCGATAACAACGAGGGTTTTGTTGTTGCTGTTTTTTTTTTCATGAGCGTCTTTAAATATACAAAATAAAAGCTGCAAAATATTTTGGTCTAGAAAGCAAATTGTCTACAGCAGCCTTGTTAGGGCGCACACTTGTTGATATAAAACGCATGGATAAGGTATGTGTACAACAGTGTCTCAAGAAGGATGGTCTGGACCTCAAGCACATAACAGTGTGTGTGTGGTGTAGCAACCGTTGGGCGTTATAACAAAAAAAAAAAAAGTAACCCAGAACAATTGAAACAAATTGTGAGATACATGCTTTACAACTTACAGTTCATTTGCTTTTTTTGAGGGGGGGGGGGTACTTTTTTATGTTTAAGACAAAAGAGAGTTCTGGAATAAAGGGCCCCGTAGCTTGTGGACCCCCCAAGAATAGGGGCTCGCCACTGCGCTTGCGCCGAACCCGCGCTCCGCTTTGGGTTATGGGTTGGCGCTCGCCCCTGACGGAAAATTCGAGAAAAAGCGTGGGGCCCCTATCTCCTTGGGGCAGGGTTGCGTCGACAAACATGGCGACGTCCTTTCCGCTCACTCCGGAGCAAATTTGTTATGGTCGCTGCAGTATCAGCTACTTTCATTGCCACTGAATGGTTCAGCCGGCTTTCGCTTCGCTTTATCTAGCTCAAATAAAAAATAAAAAAATGATGAAGGGTGGGCTCGCCCCATTTTAAAGATCGTCTCTGATCTTGACTGTTCCTAAGCCTAAAGAGACGCTGCAACAGTTGACATGGCAACGTATTGGTACTCCCGAGGCTCCGAGTGGATTTCGTTCGCGGCTCGATACCTGTAGCTTAAGAACAAGTCTTCAAAGGCTTCATCGCTCCAGCTGAAAATTAAATACAGCAGCTGCTCCCAGAGTATGCTTCCTTGCGTTTGTCTTAGTTTCGGTATAGTCGAAGTCATCATATAGTCATCTTCGGTGACAGACAATAACGCACACACGAACGGCCAAAAAAAATATATCGAGAACGAGCGCCAAATTAGACCGCTACTGAACGGATTGTTTTGGCTGGATACAGCCCACAACATTTATACTGACAATAAATTTTCTTCTGTTTTAGCTGGTTTGATTTGGATTTACCTTAACTATAATCTGTAAAAAAAAAAAGTACTTGCTAAGCGTATATGTTTTACGTTTTTTAATAGTTCTCGTGTTTGATTATTACAGTCGTTAGCCGCATTGGCGCTGCAAAAGGTGAACCGTAAGCGCGCCGCTCTGCGTTTCGAAACCTTTTTATAAGCCGTCGACGCCAACCTTGCAGCCTTTGAGTCTTCCAATTTCTTAGGTGGACCCAAACGTTAGGACCCCTATTTTAAAATTCTCCAATAAGAAATATCATTTTGGTCCGGTTATCGGAGCCTAAGACAAAAGAGTTATAGCTTCCTTAGAAAAGACATAAGAAAGGGCAAAATATTACATTATATCCAGTGTTTTCCCGTCTTCCGGTTTCCTAATGGTGAGCCTTGTTCTCGCGGTTATTTTCGGGGTGTGGCCGGAACTATCTTAGCAGCCAACGAGTGTTCGACTGATCCCTGCTTCTAAAATATTGCTTCCGGCGTGTGCCAGACGAACGACAAGGAGCGGAACGTGGTCATCTTCGACCTCGGAGGTGGAACCTTCGACGTGTCCATCCTGAGCATCGAGAAGGGACTGTTCGAGGTCAAGTCGACGGCTGGGGACACGCATCTGGGTGGTGAGGACTTCGACAGCCGCATGGTCGCATTCCTTGCACAGGAGTTTCAGCGAAAACACAAAAAGAGCCTGGAGCACGACAAGAAGGCGCTACGCCGCCTCAGGACATCTTGCGAGAAGGCCAAGAGAACGCTGTCATCCTGTTCGCAGGCGAGGCGAGTGTACACCGGCCGATTGCGCCCGTCAAAGATCCATTGTCGGAAAATGGTTGAATTTTACATGACGGGATTGAACAGCTCAATAAACGCAGGCGAAGACAAGACACGACCGCAGCAGGACGAAACTTTGTTTTCTTGCGGTTTTGTCTCGTATTCTTCTGCGTTTATTGAGCATGGCATCTCCATCATGAGCAACGTTTACCAACTGGCCTATTCGGCTACCTTAGTATGGTTAAATTGTACTTCTGCTACAAGCCTAAAAAGTGTTTTCTAAATAATATTTTCCCCTTGCCGTCTGTCAATAAGGCCGAAAACACCATTTAGATTAATCTCCTCTTGTATTAAAATTACACTCACGTGATCATTCAAGGTATCAACCCTATTTTCGAAACAGAGTTCACCATATTAAATATGGTATTTGCGGCAGATATTATTCAGGCATTAAAATTATGCAGGTATAAAATGATTTTGTTAGGTCTACTGGCAGTTTATACAGTTTTAAGATGAATTCGTGGGCTATGTGCCATCTTTGCAGCATTGATGTATGATTGGTTACCTGAGCAAAGAACTTCGTCTCGGTGTGAAATGAATGCAGCACGCACGGGACAAAGTTCAAAGCCCTGAATTCTGTCCAGTGGGTTTTGTGTCCTGAAAACTGGGAGAAATAAAAAGAAACGGACACAAATCCAGTATAAGGAACAGTGATGCAGCAAACGAGTATCTGGTGAGTGTCGGGCAAGCGCGGGCGTGAAGCATGGATGATGAGCACAGGCAAGGCGTTTGTTGGTCGGAGAACCTCCTAGGAGAAGCAGGTTTGGACACATGGGACATTATTGGGGACTACCTAACACGTGGTGTTGGAAATGCTCTTATAGTTGAGTTCCAGTCCCTATGCACCTTACATCCTTGAATGCTTTTATACAAACTAATTCTCCACGCGCCTGTTTTTTTTTTCATTTAGTTTTTAGGTACTAGGTTATTACTGTTATTCGAATGTGTCTAATTGTTTTCGCGTGTTTAGTCAGCCTTGTGAAAATCCAGTTCCAATGAACTTTGGGGCGGCACAGCAGAACAATAAAGTATCACCTGACTTGCTTGCAAATGCGATAGCTTTTGTAAATGACGAGAATGGTGAATGGCAGAGGCATTTTACACAATATGATGTCTACAGAACCGTGTTCATGAAATAATGTGCTACAGGTATGTGGCTGTTATTGCCTCTGTGCTACAGTCTCACGCTTGTTCAAAACGCTAAATCCTAGTAATGCGATGATGGTTGCTTTTCTTTCAACCTCATGATCTGTGGATGAAGCGTATTATGCAGTGTTTCCTTACGTTTATGGTAGTTCTTAAACTAAATTTAGAACTCAGAAGTGTACGTATACCTTAGCTGGATAACTAACTCAGTGAAGACGCACTGTGAGATATCACTGATATAAAATTGAAATATTGTTCCCATGCTTTTATTCTATAAAAATGCGAGAATCGACACCTTAAAAATTTTTCTTCAACAACCCTTCCTTAATTATACAGGATGATTCTGAGAAAACTTTTGAAACACGCTAAATATGAGCGGTTCGAGATAAGTAGAGACTCTTTTCGGGGAAAAACTACAACCCTCGGCGGACGTCAAGGATTACAAAAACATACTAATTAACATGTTATTTAACGGAATTTACTAATTATTTTAATTAGTGAAAATGAACATATGGCCCTGCTGAGAAACTTGCTAAGCATCATCGAAAAACACTAAGTCAACTCTTTTGGAAAGATTCGTGACAGAGGCAGCATTTAACGGCGTTCCGTAAAAACGCTCGATGTGTACTCGTTTCTAGGCTTCGGTTCCTTATCGAAGCGCATTTCTGCACCCGCGGTCCTGCTCCCCAAAGGGCGAGACCTGCAACAAACGCACAACATACTTCGCTATAACCTACGAGCACGGCCGTGCTACCCTACGAGGGGGGCAGGCTGCGGCTTTGCGCCGCGACCACCGGGGAGCAGGACCGCGCGCGCAGGGATGCGCTCCGGTAAGAAACCGAAACCTAGAAATGCGTCTAAACTGAGCGTTTTTACAGAACGCCGTAAAATGCTGACCCTGCCTTATATCTAGGGTTCTGAGTTTCCGGTTTAAACCGATAAAAACCGATAAAAGTACGCCGAATCCATTTTCTGAAATTCGGTTTTAACCGAAAAGGTCAGCTTTTAGGTTCGGCATTTTCGATTTAAACCGATAAAAGTATGTCGAATCCATTTTCCAAAATTCAGACGTTAACCGGAAAAGGTCACTTTGACCTTCCAGTCGTACCGCAGAGCCGTGGCGAGAAAGTGGAACTAGAGTATGTATTGAAACGTGTCCCAATGTATGGAATACACGGATGCCATCACGACGTTTTGGTTTAATCTGCGCATCACCGATCGGAACGTGATGTCCGAAATGCCCCATGACTTCGCCATGTACGAGCGTGTTTTGAAACTCGTTGTAAGGAAGACTGACTTGATGCAAGCTCTGCATGTTGTGTTGTGCTTCAAAACGTCGCAGCGTGTTTCTTTTTTTGGTAGTCACAATTGGTTGATTGGCCGATTTTGACTTAGGCAGCGCTTCATCTCCTCAGCCGCTCAGTGTCCAGAGTTAGCGCTGAGAGGGCATCCTCGAAGCTCAGGGTCATATTAACAGGAAAGAAAGAGTTCGGACCAATGCGGAGAACCTGGGAAAGTACATCGGCGTGAACTATAAAAAGATCACGTAATCCTTATGTACAAAAGGTGAAGTTCCATGTTTTTTAGGCATAGGCTTCATATCTGACTTGTTTGTACTTCTGTGTTTTTTTTTTCTTGTTTCTTTTACAGTTACACACATTTGCCAAATAAAGTGTCCATTTCTTTTCCAATGCATCTGTGCCGTTGTTCTCTGAATGATTACAAATATCAGAGCTGCACGGGTCATCTGATTCGGCGTCCGTTGGCGTTTATTTTATATTCACCGAAAAAGCCGATAAACTTTTTGTGGGCATAAATATACGCCGAAAAAAAAACGAAAATTGAATTTTAAAATAAACACCATCGAAAGTACGCCGAATTTTTAAAAAAGTAAAAACCGAAAACGCGGAACCCGACTTATATCTTCTTAAAAAGGGTTACCTTATTGGTTCTCGATGGTGCTAAGCAAGTTTCTCAGTGGAAACATAAGTCTATTTTCATTAATTAAAATTTAATTAGTACATTTTAATTAATTATTGTTCTAACTAGTGTGCTTTTGCAATACCTCATGTCCGCGAAGGCTGGTAATTTGTTCCACAAAGAATTCTTTTTTAAACCAGGAGCAGCATATTTTATGGTAGTTTTGAAAGCTTTCTCAGGAACGCCCTTAACATTAGTATTCAAAAGCATCATTAATTTTAATCTCCTGTCTCGGAAACTCCGTAGAATTTGTACGTTTACATCAGTTGTTCTCTTTGGCTTTCTTACCGGATTTGCTGTGAATCTTAAAGGAGCTGTGCAACAATTTTTGTACTGTGCACAAATACCGCTTAAAACGGATTTCTAAAGTTAATGACCTATGAAACACGCGTTCGTTTTTCACCCCACGCAATAGAAGTCCCAGAAAAAAATTAAGAAAAACGAGCAGCGTTCACCCCCTCAACTCGCAGCCAGAACAAGCGGCCACGTGATCTGGAGCCGATTATATGCCGCCAGTGTTGATCATAGCCACGCGCTGGGGTTGGCAAAGCGCAGGACACGCGCTGAGTTCCAGACATTGTTATGGCTCAGCTATTGTCGTCGTTGCAGCGATTGGACACAGGCAACTACCCGACTGCTTATCGAGCTAGCAATTGTCACGAGCCCAAGTCGAGTGCCCACGCAATGCTCGGGTCCAATCTATGAACCGCATTCAAATATCGTCACTTGGGTGTACTGCGATCCCCGAGTTACGTCATCAAATTTTGCAAAGGAGAGATTGAATGAAAATGATCGTTTTTGTCCTTGAAATTACACCGCAACAAAGGAGTTTCTTGGCCAATGACGTTGCGTGTGAGTATCCTTGAGTCCCCGGTGTGCCAGTAAGCTCGTGTAGAGAGAAAAACATTCCAATTGAATATCGTTGCACAGCACCTTTAAGATGATACAAAAGGTTTCTAGCTAATACTTCATTGCGAAAAGTTTAGTTAAAGTTGGTGCCCCAATGCATACTCGTTACGCTTTCTTTGTGATTTTATTTGTACTTCAAAATGCAGCATTGAGATCGACTCCCTCTTCGAAGGCATCGACTTCTACACAACTATGACCCGTGCACGATTCGAAGAGCTCAACTCCGACCTGTTCCGGTCGACCATAGAACCTCTGGAACGCTGCTTATCCGACGCCAAGATCGGCAAGCAGGACGTAAACGAGATCGTCATGGTCGGCGGGTCGACCAGGATCCCCAAGATTCAAAAACTGATCCAGGACTTCTTCAACGGCAAAGAGCTCAACAAGTCCATCAACCCTGACGAAGCCGTAGCTTACGGAGCCGCGGTACAAGCCGCCATCTTGACGGACGGCAAGGCGGTTGAAGTCCAGGACCTTCTGCTCCTCGATGTCACGCCCCTGTCCCTCGGCATTGAGACTGCGGGGGGAGTGATGACAGTGCTGATCATGCGGAACACCACCATTCCCACAAACAAGACTCGCATCTTCACAACGTATACCGACAACCAGCAGAGTGTCCTCATTCAGGTCTTCGAGGGTGAGCGTGCGCTGACCAAAGACAACAACCTGCTTGGTAAGTTCGCGCTCAAGGGAATCCCGTCGGCACCGAGGGGTGTCCCTCAGATAGAGGTGACGTTCGACATCGACGCCAACGGTATTCTGAACGTCTCGGCCGTCGAGAAGAGCGTGGGAAAGTCCAAGAAGATCACCATCACAAACGACAAGGGCCGGCTTACCAAGAGCCAGATCGAAAAGATGATTCATGACAGCGAAAACTACAAAGAGCAGGATGATTTGGAGCGAAATCGCATTTCTGCTCGAAACGGTTTGGAAGCGTACCTCTTTTATGTTCGACAGAAGGTGAAGGAAGACAGTGCAACTAAGAAGGCCTTGACGGAGGAGGAGGCAGAGATTGTCACAAAAAAGGCTGATGAGATTGAGTCTTGGCTTGAGGCGAACGCGGTAAGGCGCTATCTCATGTTTTGCGTTTCTCACTTACGACTTGCATGTCTACTTCACATTTGTTAAAGCAGATTGATATTTGTATTTTGCAGAAAAAGCGCTATTAAAAAAGCACTTGAGAATGATAGATGGTTAACGTTACTCTCAAAAGATTAATATTCCTGTCTCAAATATCCACGGATCCCCATTTTATAACTAAACTCGTTTAGCGAAAAAAAGAAAATATATATATATATATATAAACATTTTTGTTTATTTATGTAGTAATAAGCTTAAGGCTTCGTAACACTTAGCAGAAAAAGGGTTTGGCAGCTTTTAACAGGGCATGTAATCAAAGGCTGGGATCCCCGGCCTTTCAAGCGTAACGTGATGTCACAAAAGGCTTTGTGCCACGAAAAACCACAAAAAATCCGTCACGCGCCAGCATAATTTAGTAAGTAATATTTATTTTCAGCGATATTTTGCGGAGGGCACCAGACAAAAAGCTTCCATAAGGTAGCTTGTCTGGGTCTCGTGCCATTGCACTTACATGGCATGGTAAAAACAACTACTATACGCTATCACTTTGTCAAAATAAAGCAAACGCGTACATCCTTTTTTGTTAAACAGTGAACATCATTGTGGTTTATAATGAACTTGTTAAGTAATGTAGGCAGGTTATGTGCAATAAATTGCAGTTCATAATTTGTACGAAAATGAGGCACATATTCCAGAACTCTCTGCGTCTGACAAGGATGGAAGACTCAGGTTTTGTCAGGTCGGATAGATTAGACAAAAAAGAAATAAACTCATCGGTCGAAAATAAATAAGAACATCGCAAACGGCACTCGTACACACTGGCAATCCTCATGACGTTGATTTGAAGAAATAATGGTTCCGTATGAGTGTCGTAAGGCACGTTTGTAATAAAACGCAGCATTTTTTTTTGTAGGATCGTAAGTTTGTTAACATTAAATTTAATTGTGCCCCAAACCGAATGACAATAAATAATTTGTGAGCTAAACAGAGCATGATAACTTGGCATTTTAATATTTACAGGCAGCAAGGAGCGACAGTGACATAGTATTCCAACAACTTTTGACGGTTTCTTAACTAAGTATTCGATGTAATTATCCCATTGCATATGGTCTGAAAAAATTACACCTTGCATTTTGTGCTGTTTGACAATTTCAATCTGGTCGGTGCCAATCTCTAGAGCATAATTACTTATAACGTGCTTATTTACAGGTGTAAACAAAATTGCTTTTACAAAGTTTATTCTAAGACCATTTATTGTTGACCACGAAAGAAACTTTTCCAGAACGAATTTCCCCATGGGTATAAGTTCGTCCATATTCGATGCAGATAGAGATATACTCATGTCTTCTGCATACATTACAAAACGTGCTTGGTTGCAAATATTGACTAGATTGTTTATATACACATTGGACAGCAGAGGGCCCAGTATGGTGCCTTGGGGCACACCAAACTTTAAGGTTTCCAAAGCGGAAACATGATCATTCACTGAGACGCATTGCTTACGATGTTCTAAATATGAACGAATAAGTATCAAAGGCGTGCCACGTATGCCATAACACGAATGTTTATCAAGGAGCGTTAAACGGTTAAGACAATCAAACGCTTTATCAAGATCAATAAATATTCCCAGTGTCAGCTGTTTGCATCCTATATTGTGTAATGTTATTTCTTTCTATGATATCAAAGCGCTTTCCGTGCATTTTGCCGCGCGAAATCCGCAATCAGTTAGCACTGATGGGGGGGGGGGGAGGGGGGGGAAGATTCGTCTAAGCGATATAGTTTTGTTTCTGGACCTTTGGAAATATTTATCGGGACCTCGATCCATTTAGTGGATCGATGTCCCACTAAATATAGTTTCACTTCCCTTTTACTTCACTTTATTACCGTAAAGACCCCCCCCCCCCCCCCCGCCCCCGTTTAGGGGGTATTACATAAGGGGTGGGTGTATAAAATAAACATTTGAAAAAAGTGCACATGTTGCCATGAGGACTCATTGTCACCGTGAGGACTGTTAAACACACTGTCGAAGCTGCAAAAAAAAAAACAAAAAAAACAAAAAAAAAACATAGACGTAATTGATTTTTTGCGACTTAGTCTCCAGTTGCTGTACCAGTTGCTGTACCAGCGGACCTCACGTGACATCCTCGGCGTGACAATCATCACATGACACCACGACGTAACACTGTGATGTCACGTGACACCGTGTATTTGTAACGCTGGTCCAGCAGAGCTCAAAACACGCTAGAAAATTTGAACGTGCCTTAATGCTTTGCCTTTATATAGGATTAAGTCGCGTTCATTCCTTTTTGTAAATAAAAAAACACAAATTTATTGCTAATAATCAAGCCATTACAATCTAACAAAAGACCACAAATTAATAAAGTAACTAAGAAAATACTGATAAATCGTGTTTTTGTAGAACAGCGTTGTTATTGGGAGCTCGCGCAGTCACTTTGAATCTCAATATGAACCGCGCCCTTCAAATTCTGCTTCTCCGATTAATCAAAGTAAGAACCAACACTGTTCATTAATATAACTCAAAGGTTTGATAAGCTCAACAACCTTGAGCTGTACTGCTTGTTCACAATCATGTTTTTTTTTAGTTTTTTTTTTAGTGTTGTTGCGGGTTGGTAACGCTCATATGCAAGGAGCGTTGTTAATGAAGTCTATTTGACATATCCACACGCAGTGCATGTAGAATGTAGATTTGGTGGAATTATGCCCAATATCAGCTCGAGGCAAAATCTCGGCTTGCTTACAAACCGACCCTGAAGACACGTTTTGATCTGTTCATTCTTTCTTCTTCAGAAAGCTACCGCGGACGAATTCGAAGTCAGGTTGAAAATGCTGAAAGAGACCTGGGAGCCAATATTCGACCGTAAAGTTGCATCCACTCAAGGGCCCGGTGATATTACAGAATAATGTCCTTTTTTGTGAGGTGTACTTTAATAAATAAATCAAACGTTCATTATCGTGGTGTCCGTCTCATTGTCGCCGTAAGGACTGTCAAACACACCGTCAAAGCTGGAAAAAAGAAAACACAATAGAAGTAAGTGATTTTTTGCGACTTAGTCTCCATTTGCTGTACCAGTTGACTCGCTTCCCATTCCATGTTGTTTGTTTTGTTTCATTTCCATAGTACGGTTTTATTGTTTTGGTCATTATTCGAGTGTGCATTGGATACAACTGTGATCATACGCTTTTCGCACTCTTTAATTTGTACCTGCCATTAAATACTTAAAGAGGAGTATACTGGATGCTCTCGATTACACACACCACAGCGCACTATAGCAAACAACACTCACACCTTACACACGAAAAATAAAGCAAAATTCAAACAAACCGCGCTGACTGACAACTCTTTTTATATAACTTTGTCTTCTTCAACCTCTAGCACCACCGAAGTTCCCAAATCACGCGCACCGATCTCCTAGATGCCTAAAAATGTTTTCTCTTTTTCTGTCAGGTGTAAAGATGGTGTACTTATACAGTTGTTATAGTTCCTGGCGATATGTTCTGCTTCGATAATTTCTCGAGTTAATTGGTTTCTGTTCCTACCTAAAATTGTACAGGATGGCAAGTGAACGTCGCACCCACAATCCCGGCAGTGTATGCCTAGATGCCCTGAGTTGGCTCTGGAGCTGTTGTTGTTGTGTTCCTCTCTAGATGCTCTCCTCGTTTGCAATAGACAGGGATATTAAAGGGACGCCAAACATAGAGATGGCTCTAGCTTCCGCGGAGAAAAACTGGCAAGTAAGAAGCCCTTCTATTTTTGGCGTGTGCCTAGTATTGCCAACGACATATATTTAGCGTGAAAACACATGAAATAGTGAATACTCACTATTTTCACCTGATATGGAAGTTCTTGTACTAATAATATTAATAAAAACTGAAATTGTAAATACAAATTCAATCCGCTCTACAAGGGCACTGCAATATTTGCTTTTCAAATATAATTATATATGAAATCAACATCCCCACATCGTCCGGATGGCTGGCGCTGAATATGGGGAAAAAATATATGCACATGTTTCGGTTTTCCAAAAACGGATTACAGTAGATGCGCAGAGGCTGACAACCACCCCCCCCCTACAGACACACACACACACACACGAGCGCGCGCACGCACGTGGACACGCACACGCACACGCACATTCACAAAAAAAAGATAAATATTCGATTTAGAAACCTTATCGGCGCCTATTTGGCATCATGCATGTTGCTTAAAATATCCGTCGCAATGTTTCGAACGTGCGCACGCGCGGTAAAGTTTAAGGACACTAAGTGCAAGCACTCGTCTTACAGAACTAGCCGATGAGAAGCCATGCGCACATAAAGTTATTATGCATTTGGCTCAAGGAGAAAGCCGTGCGTATTAACGAAGTCGGTCCGATGATCAAGTACCTCACACTGTTCGCGACGGCGCTACGCTCGCGATCAAAATTGTGTACTTCGTACTGGTGTTGGCGCATGTGTTTCGGGAACAGATTGAGTTTCGCCGATGTAGGCGGCGGGGCACCCTGCACACGGTATCTTGTAGACAATGCCTTGTGTTTTTTCTCTTGGGAGACAATCCTTCGGCCTTGACATGCGCCGTCCTAACTGGCTTGCGCGCCACTTGAATCCCTTCTTTTCGGAGCACGCGCGCCAGTGGCAAAAACTAAAGTGACATCTCCCCACGACCACTGCCATGTGTTCTTATAAATATTATTTGCAAAATACAGTCTTTTTTGCTTTTCATTTATTTTTTGTGACCTCAAAATTCGGTTTTTTCGAATAAATCCGAATTGACAGAAGTTATGACAGCGAGTGATTTATGGATTTTTTTTTTTCTGAAAACACGGAACTTTACATTTGACAAAGAAGCAGCATAAAATTGAAAATTTTAAAAATATCTTCCAAACATTGATTTGTAAAGCGACCGCTAAAAGTAAGTATGTTGCCTTGCCAAAAAAAAAATATTGAAACGTTTTTCACTATCTTAAACATATATATCCAAAGCGAAAAAATAATAATTGATCGAGAACTGTCAAAGTTAATTTAACTGGCTGACTGAAGAAAAATGTGACGTGTCTCAAGTTTGGGGGAAGACGATATCGAAAGTAGGAGTTTTAAAACGGTCGAGAACGGGGACGAGGTCTGTGAAGTTCGCACACACGGCGCGATTCGATCCACACTTACTCATTTTGACAACCATCCCTCACGAAAGCTCTCAACGTTTTTTTTTCTCCCATATGGACGAATGGTCACCTCCTTTGACTGGGATTATTCTTCATTCTGTATTTTTATACTGAAGAATAGCCTCACGGCGACTCTTTAACCATTACCACAGGAAGAATACACGGTTTTCCATGCATATCTTCTAAAGATGTTTACAACTCGGATTTACAAGGGACATGAGATTTTCTAGCTACAAGTAGGTAAATGGTCTTAAAGGTACAATGAAGGTTTCGTGCTATATTTCCGCTGTAACCAAGCTTTTGTGACTTAGGATTTCACAGCCTTGCTAGGGTTGTTTTTTGTAAACCTGTCGCAGTTGTAGACATCTAGGTGGAACTGTCGATTAAACTGTTTGACAAAGGACATTAAAGAATTCACTAAACCTTACCAGACTCCTTTGCTATACAGTAGCCTCTGTGACCAATTATTAGAGTTATTTACAAAAAGCCTGCTTTAATTCATGACTCGAGCATCTCCTGAATGACCTTTAGCTTTGCAGCAAGCTTAGTGTCTAAAAACTATCTTCAGCCTCTAGTGAGAAGGTCGAATGCAGTGCTTCCGGCTCTGGTGTTCCGAACATTGCTGCGGGATCAACGAACGAACAGGTGTCGTTTTTAGTTTCCATAAAAGAATGGGGAGGATGGGATTGAGAGAGAAATGAAACGTGATTTTTGCTAAAGGCTTACGTCCCTCTCCGGACGGCCTGTCCGGTCCACTCTCGAAGATGAATTCTGCGAGCGGACCGGAATGGGCGACGAGTGCCTGAAGTGCGGTAAATACGCCAGTGCCCTGAGATGGAGCCAGCCATTCTTCCCAGGAAAGAATGTGGGATAGGGATGGGGAAAGGGCGGGTGCGGTTGCATGACCAGTAAGTGTTAGGGAAGAGGGGGAGGGAAGTATCTTCTGTATTTGGGGATCATGGGAAAATGGGGTCGTTTTTAAATGTGCAAGATGTGGTGTGATGGTAGGGAGTTAGTCTGGGACTGTCTAACGAGGGAAACTTGCTCTCCGATGCCCTCCCGAAACTTCACCATCTCATTTGGGAGTGCGCAGCTTTGGTTGCCCAGCGTCAAGAAGCCTGGGCTACTCTTCTTCCTGAAGACCTTCCGACGACCATGAAAGAATGGGCGCATCCTGCCGGCGACTCCGAGCGCCGGACGAGGGTCCTGGCTTCCCTCCTCGACTTTGTGTGGCGGAGCGGACTTGGGCCCTCGTTTAATGAAGCACATCATCATTTCACGCCGCCAAGGACGTAGACGCCACGCTTGAGAGCGACCACGCCGCGTCGGTCCCTTGGGCCGGGGTCGCGCTGCTCATTCATCGTGCGGGGGATGGCCTGCGGACGCGAGTCGCCGCGGTGTTCGTGGTTCGGGTGGCGCGTGCCGAGTTTCTCTTTGAACTTGTTGCCCCGCGCCATTCGGAGCACGGATTTCGCGGTGGCTCGCGCCCAAATATGTCTGGGGGCTGTCTTTTGTGTGGTGTCGGACCGGCGTGGCCCCCGCTTTGGGGACTGGCGTTTGTCCTTGGTTTAAATAAACGTTGTTCTCACCTCTCTCACCTCGCTCTCCGATGCATGGTCTTTGGTAGGATGGGGAGGGGGGGGGGGGGGTACATGGTCCGGTCTTGTCGCTGTTTTTTTATCCTCGACTTCCGCAAGGCTTGGTCAGTGTTCCTTGCTGTGCCTACCGGATAGATGGTTGGTCATTACGTGACGGGACAAGGAGTTTTTGAGAGTGAAACAATGGGATGCTTCATTTCACTCTACGTCTTGGTAATAAGATTTTCATACGACGCGGAATTTTTCGTCGGGGTGCCAGACATCTGCTTGACAGACTATAATCCGTTGCAACCTAAGAACGAAGGGCGAGGGTAAGACGGGCCGGGGAGGAGGAAGCAGACGGAACGCTAAAGAGAGAAGGGGGTTTCCCGCTCTCTTCTCCAGCGTTCCGTCTGCTTCTTCCTCCCCGGCCCGTCGTACCCTCGCCCTTCGTTCTTAGGTTGTTGTAAACGGTAGGTTAGCCGTGATTGGGTTTCGGAATATTGTTGGTACAGCTTTTAGGCTACACTAGAATTCGTGAATATGAATGTGACATTTGTGTTAGGTGTTGGGTGGAGTGCTCCGGTGGCTTTGGCCGTGGCGTATTATTCCAAATCATCAATCGGCAGGGGCTTTGTGAAGGTTTCGGAATAATGTACCTTAGTGCGTGTCCTGACGAAGGCAAATTTACTGTGCGTCACTTGCTGGCTGGTGTCCGTAAAGTACTATCGTGTTCCGTCTCCTGCAGGTATCGTATTTGTTTTTCGAGTGCTTTGGCGCAGAGATTTTGTCTATGAATTATTGTTTGGGCACATGTTCTCCAGTAACTCGGTTGTGGTTCCACTGTAACATTTCGGTTGGCGCTTTTTCATAATGGAGAAGAGGGGGGGGGGGGGGCCTTTGTGGATATCCGTCCGTGTTAATGTCTAATGTCTGCAAAAATATCGGCCCTTAGTCTGAGGTTGAGGTGCGTTATATTTGCGCGTCTTTGCGCGTTCGTATGCCTTCTGGAAATGTGTTGAAGGCACCTGTGTTAAGGAGGCGTTCGCCGGACGCGTACCGGGATACCCCCAAGGTGATTCGGTACAGTTTACGAAGGCTGGTCTCAAGCTTGTCAATATGGGTTTAGCGTATAGGTTGTCGCGATGTTTGGCAGTGTATAGAG